GCTGCTGCTGCTGACGATGGCGGCTGTATGAATGAAGCCTTTGTTGCTGCCAGACAATCATGCTGCTGCTGCTGCTGTTGTTGCTGCTGTTGCTGCTGCTGCTGCTGCAGGATGTACTGGCAGTAGCCTGTCATGTTGGGGAGCTGCTGTGGGCCCGAGCAGCAGAGTTGCTGCCTTCTCTTAATACTGCTGCTCCTTTTGCTGCAGCAGATCGTCTGCAGCAGCACCTCGAAGAGTCCGTCATAGACACTCATTCTGCTGCTGCTGCTGCTGCTGCTGCTGCTGCTGTTGCTGCTGTTGGACTTTTTGCTGCTATTGCAGCAGTTGCTGATACTTTCGTTGCTGCTGTATCTATTGCTGCTACTGCCGAGGCAAATTCTTTTTCTTTTTTGTCTATTGGGAGTATCCTATTCATGCTGCTTCTGTTGCTGCTGCTGTTGCTGCTGCTGTTGCTGCTGCTGCTGCAGGTCTGACGTGCTGCGAGGAGTTCGCTTCTTGCTGCAGTTGCTGCTGTCAATCTTTGGCTTCTTTTACCTTGATACTAACATGAGGAAGAGAGCAGCATTGCCGCTGCTGCGTGTTGCACGTACACAGCAGCCTTCTCTAGCAGCAGCAGCAGCAACTGCAACAGCAGCAGAAACAGGGCCAACAGCAACAGGAGCAGTAGCAACAACAGCAGCAACAACAGCAGCAGCAGCAGCAGCTGGTCCTGCTGCTGCGGAAGGACATCTTGATATAGAGCAGCAGCATGCACTGTGTCTCCTTGGCTGCTATTGTCTCTCCCTTTGCTGCTACTGCGGTCTTATTGGTGTTGCTGTTGAGGCTGCTGCAGCAAGGCGTGCTGCTGTGCATGCTGCTGCTGTTGCTGCTCTCCCTGCTGCTGCAGCTGTCTCGGCTGCTGCTGCGTCTGCGCCTGTAGATGGTCAGGCCTCATCTACAGCAAAAGCAGCAGCAGGAGCAGCAGCAGCAGCAGAGGGTAGCCGCAAGAACGGATACACTGTTGCTGATTGGCTGCAGCACGCGCTGCTGCCTGGGCTTGTGCTGCCTCTTGTTGCAGAGGCCCTCGCCTTCTGCAAGCGCAGCAGCAACAGCAACAGCAACAGCAGCAGCAGCAGCAGGAAGGATCCGTTTGCATGCAGCCCCGAGTTGCTGCTGGCAGCACCGCTTGCTACTTCCTTCTTAGAGTCGCTGCAGTGTCTAAGAGAGGACCTCATGCAGCTAATTACCAAGTACATACCTGCTGCTGCTGCTGCTGCTGCTGCTGCAGCTGCTGCTGTTCTTGCTGCTGCTACTGATTACATTCATGCTGCTGCTGCTACTTCTACTGTTCTCGCTGCCGCCGTTGCTGCTGTGAACATAAACTGCTACTCAAAGAGCTGTTGCTGCTGCTGCGTCACCAACAGCAGCAGCAGCAGCAACAGCAGCAGCAGCTGTTGTTGCCTTTGTTGTAATAGGTGGCGCTGCTGTCATGTTTTTGCTGTTGCATGCAGGACCCATCGGCTGCCGCTGCTGCCGCTGCAGCAGTTTGTAGCCCTTGAGGGTTTCTCCGCTCTCCTCCACGCTGCTGCTGCTGCTAATGGCAGCAGCAGCAGCAGCAGCAGCATCGACAGCAGCAGCAGCAACAGCATGGGCATGCCTCAATGTACTTCTGCTGCTGATGCATTGGTGACTCTTATATCTAATAGGCGAATGTTTTTCTTCCCTCTGCTGCAGGATCAGCAGCAGCAGCAGCAGCAGCAGACTGCTGCTGCTGCTGAGCTTGGGCAGCAGCTGCAGCTGCTGCAGCTGTCCCAACGATTAGATGCACTGCAGCAAAAGGAGGAAGCAGAATCCGAGGAGTATATGACTATTCAGTGCCAGAGGCAGCAGCAGCAGCAGGCTATGCTGCATGCACTGCAGCAGCAAGAGCAGCAACAGCAGCAGCAGCAGCAAGAACTGCAGCAGCAATTCTACATGCCTGCTTGGTGTGAGGGCGTCGCCCTTTCTGAGGGAGTTGCTGCTGCAGACGCAGAGCTCTCTGCAGCAGCTGCTGCTGCTGCAGCAGAAGCAGCAGCAGCTGCTGCTGCAGCAGAAGAGGGATCACCAACAGCCGCGGCAGCAGCAGCAGCAGCAGCATCTGCAGCAGCAGCTGCTGCTGCTGCTGGAGAGGGAGCAGCAGCACTGCTGCCTAGTGTGCGCTCTCGTCTACTAGCAGACGCAATTCTGATTGCTGCTGGCAACAGCAGCAACCCCAACAACAGCAGCAGCAGCAGCAGCAACTGCAGCACCAACTGCAGCAGCAGCAGCAGCAGCAGCAGCGGGGCAGTATTAAGTGCTGTAGGCAGCAGCAATGTGCTGCCTGTATTAATATCTAAGGAAGAATTACCTGAGTTGCTGCTGCTGTCTCTCTTTTATTTAACTGCTGTATAGCTGCCTATACACCCCAACATATAAATATACATTTTATTTATTATTCTTTATACAGCATACTTGCTGCTGCTGCTGTTTCTTCTGCTGCTGCTGCTGCTGTTCCTGCTGCTACTGCTGCTGCTGCTGATTACATATATATGTAGGAGAATACAGTTATTAGGGTTTAGGGTTTAGGGTTTAGGGTTTAGCGGGGAACGAGGCCTGCGCTATACCTTTAGCTGATCAGACCACTAATGTGCGCAGCAGCAGCAGCAGCAGCAGCTGCTGCTGCTGCTGCTGCTGTTGCTGCACATGTTGCTGTTGTTGCTGTTGCAGTGTTGCTGCTGCTGCTGCTGTAGTGTGGATCTAAGACTTCCTATTGTTATGGAGGGTGTGCTCGGGTTTGCTGCTGCTTCCCGTGTCTGCGTATATTTTGCTGCTGCTGCAACAGCTGCTGCTGTCAGCTGCTGCTGCTTTCTGTTGCTGTTTGCCGCTGCTGCTTGCTGCTGCAGCAGCAGCTACTGCAGCGAGCGGCACCAGACGCACCCTAGGAACACCATTTTGCTGCTGCTGCTTGCTGCTGCTGCAGCAGCTACTGCAGCGAGCGGCACCAGACGCACCCTAGGAACACCATTTTGCTGCTGCTGCGAGCGGCACCAGACGCACCATTTGACCACCTTGCTGCAACAGCTGCTGCTGCTGTTGCTGCTGTTGCTGCTGCTGTATAATTAGTATTAATTAAATAATTAAGAATAAATTAAATTAAAGAAAATTAAATATTTAATTTAACACACTCAACAAATTATGTCGCCATACACCAGAAACCCTACAAACCCTAAACCCTAAACCCTAAACCCTAATCGTCTTGTTACTCCTTATCCCTTTCTTATTTCTTTGGTGTGTAAGATGAAACAATTACTAGAGTACGCAGACAGCACCGCTGTTGTTGCTGCTGTTGCTGTTGCTGCTGCTGCTGCTGCTGTTGTTGATAGTTGCTGCTGCTGCTGCTGTTGGGAGCAGCAGCAGCAGCAGCAGCAGCAGCAGCAGCAGCAGAACAGTTGGTCCAGTGGTCTATTTGGTGGTTAGGGTTTGAGGGTTTTGTTTACATCGTTAAATATAAAATATTATTTATTATTTTTTTTATTTATAAATAAAAGAAAAAAAGAATATTTAGACACTAATATGTTGCCGTGATGGTGCTGCTGCTGCTGCTGTGGCGGCGGCAGCAGCAGCAGCAGCAGCAGCAACTGCAGCAGCAGCAGCAGCAGGGCGGGAGGGACGGCAAGTGGGCCGAGGCAATCGAGGCTACGAGGCCTGCAGCAGCAACACGATTAGGGTTTAGGGTTTAGGGTTTAGGGTTTACAAACCCATTTAATATTTAAATTAATTATACATTGTGCTGCTTTGTATCTGTCCTGCGTCATTTTCTTGCTGCTTCTTCCCCTGCTGCTTCAGCAGCAGCAGCAGCAGCAGCAGCAACAGCAGCAGCAGCAGCAGCAGCAGCAACGTGTATAAGGTCCTGTGGTTCTTTGTCTCTTTTTTTTCTCCCCTTTTATTTTCCTTCTTTGTATCTTTTTCTTTCTTAGCTGCCTAGACACCCCAAACCCTTGCGAGGCCTTCTTTATACCTCCTGCTGCTGCTGCTGCTGCTGCTGCTGCTGCTCCGAGCTGCATGTACACCTGACGGGACAGCATGACAGCGGCGCAGCTTCTTCTCCTCTCTTGCTGCTGCTGCTGCTGCTGAAGGGAACGAAGCAATGGATAAGCAGCAGCAAATAAGCACAGATGTGCCCTCCGGGGTGTCTGTACCCCCGGAGGTGCAGCAGCGGCAACAACACCAGCAGCAACATGAGAAACAGCAACAGGATGACCAGCAGCAACAACAGCAGCAACAGGATAAGCAGCAACAAGACAACAAGCAGCAGCAGCAACAACAGCAGCAGCAGCAGCAGCAACAACAACCGGGTCAGCATCGATTACCGGTTCCTTGTCATGGTTTTTCGCGTTCTCCTTCATCATCTTCTTCTTCTGCAGCAGCAACAGCAGCAGAGGCAACAACAGCAGCAGCACCAGTAGCACCAGCAGCAGAAGAAGCAACAGCAGCAGCAGCACCAGATTGTCCTCTGCTGCAGCAACGAAGGAGCCGCAGCGGCCTTAGCACAGGCAGCAGCAGATTATTACGATTAAGCATGCGTAGACGTCGCAGCAGCAACAACAACAATCATAACAACAATCACAGCAGCAGCAGCAGCAGCAGCAGTGACAGCGACAGCAGCAGCAGCAGCAGCAGCAGCAGCAGCGACAGCGACAGCGACAGCAGCAGCAGCAGGAAAAAGAGAAGCAGCAGGAATAGATTAAATGTTGGTCGTGGTGTATGTATACCGGGTATAGAGAGAAGAACAAATAGAAGAAGACACAACAGAAACATCAGCAGCAGCAGCAGCAGCAGCAGCAGCGACAGCAGCAGCAGCAGCAGCGACAGCAGCAGCAGTAATAGTAATAGAAGAAGACGACCAAAGAGAACAGGAAGAAGCAACAGCACAACAACAACAACAACAACAACAACAACAACAACAACAATATTAAGTAGCAGCAGCAGATGCAGCAGCAGCGAGTATAGTAATAGCAGCAATAACAGCAGCAACAGCAGGAATAGCAGCAAAAACAGTAACAACAGCAACAGCAGCAGCAGCAGCAGCAGCAGCAACAGGAGCAACCCCACCTTTCCAACACACCCAAAAAAACCCCCCAAGAAAAATCGCTCAATTTTTTGCTGCTGCCCTCCCCCCCCACCCCTGCCTCCCCCTACCAGCAGCAGGAGCAGCAGGAGGAGCAGCAGGAGCAGCAACAAATACAGCAACAAGATAAAAAGGAGCTTAATAAGAATATATACAAATATATATAATAATTTACGTGTAAATATATGTATACGTACAATACGGGCACTAAAATTGTCTTTTTTGTTGCTTATTGCGCTGCATTTATCCTTATTAATGAATAAAAAAGGATATATAAATTCATCATTTATTTTATTAATTTATTCCCTTTCTTGTACATTATTACCTGATTATTCTTCCTCTTTTTATAGTAGTATATGTTTATTTATATTATCTATATGTATAACATTTATAATAACATTTATATTATTTATAATAATATATTATTTATATTATTATATAAATATATATTATTTATATAATAATAATTATATATATTATATATATATAAATAATATATTATTA